TCATTATTATTATTATTATTATTATTATTATTATTATTATTATTATTATTATTATGAGCCACTGTGGACATTACCAATACCCTCCCACTCCTCCAACCCTTCCACCTTCTGGGAAGAGATACAGATTAATCAGAACCTGAAGCAACAGATTAAAAGTCCTTAACTCCTTCTGTCCTCAAGACTGTAGTAATATGCAGGGTAGTGGACATAAACCATGTTAGTCTCACCTTTTTTTCTTTCTTTTTTTACTAAATGCAAAAGTCTTGAGCCACAACTAATTTCTTTCTAATTTGGTTTCAAATTTTAAAGGGATTTATTCATTTGACTTAAATATTTGACTTAACTGACTGTGGCATCAGCAAATACTATTTACTATTTTTTCTGTGTTCTAGCAAGTTTTCAGTAGGTCAGAGTTTCAAGATTTTATATATTTATACAGTGTTACAGTTTGTAACAAAAGCTGCCAACTTCTGCTGTCAGGGTTAATTAAAATTAAAATTTAAAATTAAACACAAATAAAAAATGTAAATAACAGTAGAGCTTACTATTAGTCATGAAAATATGTGTTATGAAGAACAAAATTGTATTTTAAATCTGCTATTTACCCCAATTTTAATCCCTTTCTTTTTTTTAGTCACAAACATTTTTACTACAAAAATTCTCAGTGTTTGCATAAAGTTAATTTGTCTTCTGCTGACAGAACTTGGGTTAGTTTGTGTTTTAAATTTGTATTATAAATAAAAGTCACATGTCTCAAACCTGAAGGGAATGAATCTGATTCTTGGGCTGCTTTTTTGGTACAATTTTCAAAAATGCTTTCTAAATGAAGATACCACAAAAGCCGAAAAGAAAACACCATTTCATTTCTTGGCCGAGAAAGAATATCTATAAAGCTATATAACTCTAAATAAAAATGTGTACAATAAGGCACTCAAATCATTCATCATTAACTGATGGGAAACTATGAGTTTCTATTCATTTAGTTCTGTAATGACTTCATCGCGTCTTTACCACAATTGCAACAAAAGCATTGTCAAGTAGCTTTGGAAAGATCTGTAAGACCTGAAACACTGAAAGGCTTGTGTAGCCTATCCCCAACATGCTATACTTGTAACTGACTTCCACTAGAAGTCTGAACATGCCAGGCGCATTTTGGAAACACCTGCTGTGGTCTCATAAGGTTTAGAACATCTGGACACAATGAGAAAAGGTACACTTCAAGACAAAAAGGTGCTGAAAGCCTCAACCAAACTCTTGGACTACTGTATATGTGTTTAGGTAAACATTTTAACAAGCACTAGATTAAAAACATTAAAACAAAAACTTTAAAAATACAATTCGTTTTAGACTTAGTTTGGATAATTGACCTGTACGGAGCCCCGCAAGTGACATTGGAGGAAAAAAAATAAAGATGAACTTTTGCAAGATCTCCCAAAACTTTTGCCATCTTGGTATAGCAGAAAAAAATAAACATTGCAATTCTAATAATGTTGTATCATGTGCTAACTTGTGCACGCAAGGGCTTGGGTTACCACCATGAAACAAATAAGTCATGTGTAGCCTCTGTATTTTTTGCTGCATTTGATTTGAAGTGGAAATTCTGAATTTGTGTATAAAATTCATAAAGTCAGCGAAGCCATACGACCAAGATTTCACAATCCTATAACAGCTTTGCATATAAACAGCAGGGAACTTGTAAAACTTGGAATCTGTACAGCTACTTCTGTGCATTTGAGACTCACTAAATAAATCATACACAGAACACTAACCATGTTCTATTTGTGAATATGAAGCGGTTTTAATCACACAAAAGGCCTTGTACTATATTAATGGTAATTGATGAATGATTGTACCTTGACATAGAGCATTTAAAAAGTTGCTTTTCCAACTTTACAAATGGAATGCAGTTAACTCTGGAGTGAGGTTACTCCAATGTGTGACATCCGGAGCAAATCAAACAACGCATTTGTCCTTCCCTTTGAATCAGTGCTGTGACTACATGTATTAGTCTTTATTGTCAACATTTAAATTGTCTGTATTAAAATACAATCAGTATTGTGTAACAATCTTTAGCCAGCCTTCGTTTGTTTCATATTTGGACATTTTTGTAATTTTTCTAAATCTTTTAGAAGAGAATTGTGTGTTGGGGATTTTCTTCATTTAAGCCATTTAACACTGACCTTACAAAAATGCCTCCACCACTTGTGTCAGCTAACAGAACATATTTGGTAATTGTAGATATATTTTTATATATTTTTGTTGTTGTGTGGTTTGAGGGGGCGATCATGTCTGCTTGCCTTTCTGTAAATAGCCGCTTCAATCACAAAAGGTATCTAAATCAAGGTGTGTGTTGTGTGCGCACACAGACAAGTGAGCAAAAAACTAAATTAAATTAAATTGTCCCTTTAGACATTTTGTGGTGAGTAGCCTGTTACAAAAACCCATAATCTATTCCAATGTATTTAAGTGAACCTATAAAAGATGCCCAAGATACAGTTACAAATACATATACTCACAGACACACAGATGCAATACAATACAATACAATTCTATCTATTCTATATTATATAATATATTATAATACATAATATAATACCATAGACTAATTATGTTTTTAAATGTGATTTTACGTGGTTTTTAGTTGGGGTTTTTTTCTTTTCTTTTCTAGCATCATTATAGGTTTTCAAGCAAGCGGGTACTGTTAGTCAAGGTGAAAACTGTACACACCCATACAGATACAGATAAAGATTAGGATTACCTCATGGCTAGACGTATACAGCTGATTTATAAAGATATCCCTCCCACCAGTATCTCTCTGCCAAAGCTCACATTGGCATGTAGCTGAGTTTCTACTCAAGTGCATTCAAGTAGTCGTCTGCAACGAATTCACTTCAAAACTAGCCGTTCTGTGGATATAAAATGGAACTAATACACCCAATTCTACTTTTGATTCTGGTAAGGCTTAAGTATGTAAAAATACATGTAATCTTTTATTACTTCTGCCATAAATTTCAACACAAATATTTTAAAAATATGTCTAATTGTTTTACTAATTGTGTTTATGACGATTATGTCTGTCAACATTATACTGAGTTATAGCCAGTGTTTAAAGATTAAAAATCTGCTAAGAATATAATATAATATATAATATATATGATACTCATAAATATGCTGTGCTGCACATTTACTGCAAGAAATCTTTCCAGTGTAATCTTTTGCAGTGTTGGGGAGTCCACAGATCATCTTCACAACTTTTGCTGCGTCAAAAAAGAAACTGGATCATTAATTCCTTTACTATTGATGAAGGTTATCAGGGACCTTTCCCATATTCACTGGGCAAAGTGAGTGTATGCCTTAAAATGTAACACATATCATGAAATAAGGAAAGATAATTCCAAAATTCACTGCTCGTGTGTCTTATGTTTGATACAGATTGAGGTTGAGAAGGACCTCGTTCTTTTTATGATACAAGGAGAAGGTGTCGATGAGGAACCAACGCAAGTGTTAGAAATCAATTCATATACAGGAGAAATAAAGGTCCTCCGTTCGGTGGACTACGAACAATATAAAACTCTTAAGGTAAGAAGAAATTAAAAAAATATATCTAAATGGAAAGTAAAAGCTATGCATGGAGTGAGGTTTGATTATTTCATCTTTCCATTGCAGCTTAAATTTAAAGCACTTGACAGAGAAAAACATGAAATAGAGACACAGCTCGGGATTTATATAGAGATTTTGGACACAAACGACAACCCTCCAAAATTTCTGTTTGAAAAGTACACTTTCACCATAAAAGAGTCAACATCACAGGGTAATTTTCTCATTTGGAAAGAAATATTATTTAAATTACTAATGCTACGGTGTCAAAATTATGTTTTTGTGACAGTGAATCTAAACAAAATAATCATTATTTCCTTTTGATACTAACAGGCACTGAAGTGGGTAGAATTCAAGCAACAGATCAAGACATAAGTGAGATATATAACAAAGTTGACCTTAACATAGTTTCAGTCAAACCTAAACCTAAGGATCTTGAGTTCTACTTCAAAGAGATCGATGAGACAGGCATTGGTGTCATTTCTTTTAAAGGATGTCTGGACCATGAGGTGAGAGAAATTACTGCTTGAAAAATTAAAACTTTCCATTTTAATCTTTCAACATGAATCTCCTCAAATTTCAATAGTACAACTAAATTCAATATTTTTGACATCAAGATGAGCAAAATTTAATTTTTCTCCATCAGACAGCTGAGAAATACACCATTATAGTGGAGGCCAAAGACAATGGAGAAAAACCGCTATCCACCTCCTGCACCATCATAATCAATATAGAAGATGGAAATAATCACCTTCCTGTCATCACACAGCAAACAGTTAGCAGTTACTTATTTCAGTCACAATAATTTATTGAATGAAAATCATTTCCTATTTTACATCTTCCTCTTTTGTGACCCAAGGGCCCAGAAAAAGTGAAAGAAGGACAGACAACTGTTCTTGTTTCACGTATACAAGTTCATGATGAAGACACCAGAGGAACCCCAGCATGGAGAGCCAAATATACAATCCAAGGAGACACAAACAACAACTTTAGAATAACTACAGATCCTGAGACAAACGATGGACTACTCCATGTGGAAAAGGTATTTTTGTGATTATGTTTACAGTAGACTAAACTTTCCAATCTAAGTAGTTCAAAACAGTCTCTGTGGTAAAAACCCTGTCGCATTTTTTTAAATTAACCAACATAAGCTCTTTTTTATCTTCAAAAATTAGTATATAAAACACAGAAAAATATGAAAGAGATTTTCCTGGCCTGGCTTTTTATAGCAGATAACCTTAAAAATAATTTGAAGTAGACTGCTTGGAAATAAGCAAGCGAATCATGCAGAAAACAGATTTGAGATGGGGAAACTGTTCTTGAAGTGCACTGAGAGAGAGAGAGCTGTGCAGGAAGTGTGATTTTATCATAGTGGAAGCAAAACAGCAAAAGTAAGAGGGAATTCATGACGATGTTTATGTAAAGTGAAATGTGAAGCGGCGAAGCATAGTTTTGATCTTCTTTTGCTGCTGGTTCAGTCTATTTTGGTTGGAGAGGGACAAAACCTACAACTTTACAATCTAGTGCAAAAAAAGACAAAAACACAAAGCGCAGCCCCGACCTATCAGAATCTGTGAGCTGTCGACTTCCAGCACTGACTGTTTATGTGAAAGAAAGCCTAAATCTCACTCACTGTGATGCATCGGGTCCGCGCTCTGTGCGTGAGTCTTTTTGTGGAATCCATTTACCTGCTTTCATTTACTGTTTTAGCTGTTTTGTGGTTGCTGAAATAGTTTTGTGAGATTCTGGCATTTCTGGCAAAGTACATTTATATTTAAAAATCGATTCGGGATTTTAACAAATCGATATGGCTTTATTCAAGCTAAAAGCAATTTTAATCGGGTAGCAAACAGTTTTAACCAAAGCTATGATTTAAAAAGCCCTGGAAAAATATGATAAGTTATTGTTGGGTCTGCGCTTCCACAGGCCCCGCTGGTTTAGAAACCTATTCCCGTTAACGTCAAGCAAGGAAGCAAGATGAACAGCTTTTACTTGCTAGCAAGGGAGACTGGTGGTGGGAGCTGAACACTCCTCACCTGTCTCCTAGCCAGAATCAAATAAACAGCCTTCCTCGTAGCCTTTTATTTCCATGATTTACAAATTTAAGTAACACAATGACAACATTTAACAATTTGACTCCAACAGTTATGCTCTTTTACAGGCTTTAAACTACGAAGATGGTGCTCTGAAGAATATAACTATCACTGTAGAGAATGAGATCCCCTATTATTCATGCAAAGTGGAAAAACGCAGCTCCATTGGTCTTTGGAAAGTAGTTACCATATCTGGTTCCGCTGCTACTGGGTCTGCAATGAGCTTCGTGGCTGGAGCAGTTGCATCCAGCCGCCAAGTGATCGTGGCTGTTGAGGATGTCAATGAGCCTCCAGTTTTTGACAAGACTTCCATAGAAACTGTGGTCACTGAGAATGTTAAGGAAGGCCAATACCTGGCAACACTCACAGCTAAAGACCCTGATGTTGCCAACAAAAACACATTTAAGTAAGTCTTGACAACTATACAACTACATGTCACTTCTACAAGACAAAAACATACAGCATTACTACATCAGCAGACACTTTGAAAATGTCTAACAAACCATTTCAGATACATTATAGGACACGATCCAGCTGGTTGGATTAAAGTGGACCCTGACACTGGAAACATAACAACATCAAAGCCCTTGGATCGAGAGTCAGAGTTTGTTAAAGACAACATTTATGTAGTCACAATATGTGCTGTTGACGATGGTATGAATCGACAAGTATTCACATATTTGGCCAATTATTCATTTACATTTCCTCATTACATTTCTAAACAAGTTGCAATACTTTTTCATCACCAGGGAAACCACAAATGACAAGCACTGCAACTCTTAGTATCTATGTTAGAGATGACAATGATCATACTCCATACCTGGTTGTAAGCACAATTGAAATGTGCCAATCTGACGGACAATCCTTTGCCAACATCACAGCCTTAGACTCAGATGTTGAGCCCTACAGTGGCCCTTTCACCTTCAAGCTCCATGGAGATGTTGAGGGCAAGTGGAAGATTGACCCTGTCACTGGTAAGCTTTAGAGTCTGCAGATACTCAACCTTATATTACTCACAAAAACAATGTCACTTGTATTAAATATATTTCTATGCCTCCTTTATATAAAAGTATAAGTAGTATATACATAGACTGCCACAATGACTGTTATACATCTGATTATGTATTCATTTTGGACACACAGGTTATTCAGTCAACTTGGTTAAAGAGCCTACAGTTCATTCCAATCACCATGAGCTGTCGCTAGAAGTTTCTGACCAACAGGGGAAATCAGCTTTCCACAACCTGTCAGTTACTGTTTGCAGCTGCTTAGACTCAGAAACCCCAAACTGTCATGTGAGGACATCTGGCACCACACTAGGAGCAGGGGGAGTGGGAATGATTTTTTTGGCCATGCTGCTGATTACAGGTTGGACACATGTTTCAAATATTTCCATCATTATAAATAAGACATCCTCATTTATATTTGTTGTTGTTATTTAAAAACGATTAAAATGTAATAATAAAAAAGGTCTAACAATAAGAAATAACTTTGACTTTAATAATAAGCTTTGGACTTCTTCAGGAAAAAAATGTAAATGAGTTTTCGATGGGTGTTTTTCAGTTAGATTTAAGTACTTATTTTTATACTTGTTAAGATTTTGAAAAACAGTTTTTTTAAAATATTTATTTAAAGTAAAAGTGACGACAAAATAACAGAATTATAACAGCAATAAACATCTAGCATGTTTTGTATGTCATATATTTGTGTGTGTGGTCTTTATGCTCCAGGTTTGCTACTTTTGGCTCTTCTGATGTCCTGCAAAAAACAGATCTTGGAAATCAAAGAGGATTTATCTTCTGAACAACAACTGATGAAGTCTAACACTGAGAATCCAGGAACAGACTGTTCGGTAAATACATTTATCATAAATCACACTTACACACACACTCAAATGCTCACTCACACAGATATTTGTTGGTTTTTAAATTAAAGATTCATTTTGCCTGACTTTTTAAAAGTAATTATCCCTACTTCAGCAATTGTAATGACTGAAATTATGTAAACATAACTTCTCGTTTTTGGTATAAAAACCTTAAAACATCATTACTTTGTCAAGGTGGCCATTGTGAATCAGAATGGAAATGCGATGCAAGAAATATCTCAAGTTAAAACTGTGAAAATGAGTCCAGTAAGTGCTACAAAATATATATTATTGTAATAACTAGTTTGTAAAGAGCATTTTTGTAATATACCATGCATTGTGAGAAATATTTGATGTTTTTCAGGCGTTTCTTCTAAATGACTCAGAAGCCAGCACAGAATTCCTCAAGTATGAAAAAGAAAGCTCGGTGGCACAACCTTTCATTCGTGGAAGCTTTATGCACATGGTACAGATATTATGATTACTGTTGTTTTATTTGTTATTATCACTAAGTAAACCTGTGATACTTAAACAGGTAGAAGTTAAGAATTTTGCTCATCATAATTTTCTGTTCATGAAATTTATCAAATCTCAGAAGTATTTAAATGCTTGATTTTTCAGTCACAGCGGGGATCAAACGTGGGAATGGGATATCACCAGGGACAATCTGTGAGTGGGGTATGTAATATTTCTTTTCATATGAAACCTTCTGAAAGTGCTGGACCACCTTTTCTGTCAGAACTGACTTAATTCTACAAGAAACCAGCATGAAATGATTTGAGATTTGTGACATGGTGCCTTATTTTGCTGGAAGCAGCCATCCAAATTTGGGTACACTGTGGTCATAAAGGGACAGACGTGGTCAGCAGTAATACTCAGGCAGGCTGTGGCATTTAAATGATGTTGACTTTGTCCTAAGGGGTCCAAAGTATACCAAGAAAATATCGCCCACGCCATTACATCACCCCCACCTGATTGAGTCATTTCTATAAGGATGGATGAACCTGTGCTTAGATGTTGTTTATGCAACTGTTCCTATCATATACTTCACAACAGAAGCCAATACATCCAATGTTCTCTTGTCTGTTTTTGGTGAGCCTATGTAAAACATAGCCTCAGTTTCCTGTTTTTAGTTGACAAGAGTGACAGTGTGGTCATCTGCTGCTGCTGTAGCCCATTTGCTTCACAGTTGAGATGTAGGGTTAGTCCCCTGCTCTTTCAAGAAACTGTTTAGCCTTAGAACAAAAAACGAAGTCTTTATTTCTTTCGGGTTTTGGTCCTTTTTTTATGAGATTGATTGAAAACTAAAAAAGCACAGAACAATCTGCTGGCCTTGCTTTTTTACATTGTATGTTATCATAGACTTTAGCAAATGGATTCTTATTGAAATCATTTGTGCCAGGAAACAATGTCATGGTTTGATGTGTTTGTTTTGTGGTTTTTTTCTTCAGCTGATGAATGAAGCAGTACATGGAGGATCACAAATGAACTCACTAACCTCACAGTACCGGGGGGAAGGATCAGGGTCAGCATTTATTCGTGGAACCGTCATGCGGAAGGTACTGAGATTATTATTAGTATTAGTATAATTACTAGTAGTAGTAGTATTGAGTACATCTGTTTGACGAAGTGGTTGTTAAGGATTTTGCTGGTTCTTGACATTTTGCTTTTCTGTGAAGTTTCAAAAGTATTAACCAGTTAATGCTTGATTTTTCCAGTCACTTGGAGCAATGTCAAATAGTGGAATGAAACATCTCCAGTGGCAATCCAGGCATGGGGTAAAGCAACATGAGTCCTTTTGATGTTAAATTTTCCAGAACTATTTTATAATTTCCACTCACCAGCCACTTCGTTAGTTACACCTTGATAGTAGCCTTTTGTCGTCAGAATGGGATGTATTCAACAAGGTGCTAGAAGTATAACTCAGAAATGTTGGTTCCTATTGATATGATAGTGTTTAACAAATTTTGCAGAAGTGCAAATCTCCAATTCCACCACATCCCATAGATGCTCTGCTGGATTGAGATCTGGAGACTGTGAATTAAAATATGCCATTTGAGTATAGCGAAGTCATTGTTATGTTCAAGAAACCAGTTTTGGTGTTGCACATTATTTTACTGGAAGGAGCCATCAGAAGACTGTAGCCCATTGGTTTAAGGTTTCCCTGTTTCCATTAAGAGATGCACTTCTGCCTACCCTGGGAGGATCGTGTAGTTTTTACTGTTGCCATCCTAGCAACTCAAAGCAGTTCACCCGTCTCCCCATCACCCCTCTGCCAGTAACACTGAGTTGATGGAATGTGGTTGGCTAATTAGAAATGTGCATTAATGAGCAGTTGAACAGTTATTCCTAATGAAGTGGCTGTTGCATGCAATTCCTACTATGGAACAAATTTTGTTGTTAACAGGTATTGTCGATGTAACAACAGCCGCATATTACAGGATAGATAATAAAGATGAATATTGGCATTATTACATAATTGGAGATGATTATATACACATAATCCTGCTGCCAAATACTCATTAAAACACTGAATAACTGATAAAAATCCTTAATTCAAGTCAAAGACGGGAACACAGTTTTGTCGGGACAGAGAGCAGCCACTGTGTGTGCATATTATTATGCAAGTAGTATGCAAGTAGCATAATATATGCTACTTGGTTTAACTTGTGTAATGTGTTCTTCTTTAGTCCCTTGCTCTTTTATTTTTAAAAGGTTTTAAACACAGAAAAGTACAGTATCAACTGACAGCCTTGCTCTAACATGATCCAAGTATGATAGGCTTGGAGGACAAGCCTAATCATAATTAAAATGATTTCAACCATGAAATGCTGTCATGCTTTGACATTTGTTTGTTTGGTTTCTTTTCAGCTGATAGATGAAGCCGTACGTGGAGCATCACAAACCGGGTCAATAATCTCAGCTTTTCAAAGGGAAAGCTCAATGGCACAAGGTTTTACTCGTGGAAGCTTTATGCGCATGGTACAGAGATTTTTCTTATAAAACTTGTACTTACTCTTGTTATCATTAAGTACATGTGTCATATTTAAATAGTCCGGTGTTAAGAATTTTGCTTAACTATTTAAATGCTTGATTTTTTCAGTCACTCGGAGGATCATCCAACAAAGGAACGGCACATCTGCAGGTTCAATCTAAGCATGGGGTAAAGCAACATTTTCTACAGTTTTGTCATTTATGGTCAACTACAAAGTCTTTTCTTACCTTAATTCCTATTTAAATTCTAATATAATAATATTTTAAAAAAGAAAATTCATACAACTTCCTGTTTCTACTTTTTAAGATTTATATGGGACTAGACCACCGAAACCAGCTACTAAATGAGGTAATACCAAAAAGGATAAATGCTCTCCAGGAACAAGGAAAGGAACTGGGCAATTATCTGCCTCGTGTATATAATGAGGAGGGAGACACAGAGCATAACTTTGAGCTTGATTCAATCTCCATTGCTGATGTTTCCTTTGACCCTGAAATGGATCTGTGTGACAAGTTCACTACTCTGGCCTCAGTCTGCATGCCTAGTGATGTCACCACAATACAGAAAATCCAAACAGCAACTCTTGTCCAAGAGGAAAGCCATGAACTAAACTGGCAGAAACTCACATTAAATGAGGTTTACATTTCACAATAAAGTCACTAGACCTCAAGTATAAGGTCCAATATGAAAAGTCATAAATATTTATTCAGTTGTCTGGGAGCATGGTATGGTAAGATGCAGTGTCATGTCATAATGTTTACAATAAAGACTGGGTAATGCAAAAACTAATGCAGAGGGGTGAATATGGTATTTATCAAATCTGCTTATTTGCACTTTGGGAAACATACGATCAATTGTACTAAGAGGGTAATGCTTTCTACTTTCGTTTGGGTTATCTTGAGATTCTGTTCTCAAAAGTGTTTTTTAAGGTCACTTTTTTATCTTTTTCTTTTGCGAAATAATATATTTCAAGCGTGTGAACTGTTTTCTTTGTCCATTAGAGGTTGTCAGGCCTTTAAAAAAACAGAGTTAAGCTTGAATGCATGAATCTTAAAGGCATGCAGGTGTGTCTTGTGCAAGTAAAAGCTTTCTCCAGAATAAATGATGACTGCCGCTGTAATGTAATTCCACGGTATTTCCATTTTGGCACGACAAACTTGTCAAACTTGTTCTCATTTTGTTGTTTAGACTCCACGTTATCAAAAGGAGCTGGTGTGGGCATGCTCTCGGGTATCTGTGGTTGTATGGGTGTGTTCATGTTTGTACATGCAGGACAGTAAGTCTGCTGACTGCTTCGGTGAGGAGGATGGTCGGCCTTCTCCCACACTGTCTGAGCATCTGGGTGCATCTAATAAACTAGTTAATATGCTTCTAAGGATCATTGTAACCATGTTTTATGTGCATCAAATGTTTGTATAGTGGTAATACTAATAAACGTGTTAATCTGAACCGCTCAAACAAGATTCTCACTATAGAACTATCACTATCATGTTTATTAATCTAATTCTTGTGAAACATTGACTCCTTGTGGTTTTACAAAGAAATTGTTATATTTGTATTTGTGCCTAGTTATATTAAGCCATATTCATACAGTAAAAATACTTCTGAACACTCATACCAGCAAAGGTAATGTTGGGAAGTGCATTAAAATTATATTTACTAAACTTAGTAAATATCTAATGACTTACTCACATTTCATTAATGTCTAAATCTGTCAGAAGCTTCTACACAAGCCTGACTGAATTAGTTTTTCATTCTAAATGGCATTCTTGTAAGCTTTGTCATTGCACATTTTTCTCACTAATTAAAAAACATCCAAAGATGAGTAAAATAAATCTCAGGTTTCTTATCAATGCTTTAGATTTGTCAGATGGGTTAAAGTCAAAATCCTAAACTTTTCTGTAGACAAAGCTTTATTTATTTGGGGTGACATATTCGATACCAAAATGTGCTTTTAGTAAAGATTAGTCTATTGCAACAGATGGAAATCTGAACATAAAAGAGATAAAAACAACTGTAAGTAAAAAGGAAGCAGTCTCAAAGCAGTCAACTTCTATTGCTCCACTTGTTCAGAAAAATACTGATAATAAATCATAATAAGTCCATCAACTAAAGCTTGGCCAAAAAAGGGTCACGCAACAGGACAATGGTTCCAAGTACACCAGAAAATCTACAACAGAATAGCTAAAAAAAACTAACGAATCACGTTGTGGTAGGACTTTACAAAAACTCTGCATAAATAAAAACCTGCAAACCTTATAAAACAGAACCAACGACATGGGACAAAATTCCTCCACAACCATTTTAGACTTCAGTTTGTTGCCGGTGGGTCTACAAACTATGGAATCATGGCTTGTAGTTCGTATTTCACATGATAGCATCTGATTTACTCATCAGCTTGGTTACGCCACTGATTATGGCATGTCTCAACTTCCATAATCATAAACCTTTGGGGGGGGGGGGGTCATTTTTTTCATCGTGCTGCTTTTGGCAGCCTCCGTCAACATTTTATTCACAAAAAGTAAATTACACATGCATCTTTAGATATGCATCTAATATCAGACTTGGGACAGTCAGTGCAGCCAGAGTTTTCACTGCAGTTGTACAGGTCCCAAAAAGGTCAGAATCCCAGTTACCTTGACCACAAAATGAGGTGATGTAGGATTTTGAATTTCATACAAAAGGTGCAGCTACTAAAAATTTCAGATGAGTTTGCATTTCGGTGACCTTGACCTCCAGGTCAGAGGTCAGGTTTTCTGAAAATTCTGTGAATGCAATATCTTGAGAACAAGACGACAAGGAGTTTGAAATTGATACCACAGTTGTATCTACTAGGAGGCTGAGGGGTAGCATTGGCACCCCCCAGCATGCCCACTGCAAGAATATGTGACACAGAATTCTCTAAAACCACATCAACTTCAACAGGGAAGGCTGCAGTACAGTTCTGTGCAAAAGTCTTACATCACCACTGTTCTGCACACCTAACTGGCTGAAATATTATAAAGTTTATATCTAATTATTTCCTTGAGCTCACAATGACGTGCTGGAGAAATCATGTAAGATCCCTTAGCAAAAGTAACAATAGCATATTACACATAAAACTGTATTAATGCGAAACTGTACATAAATTCAATGAAATGAAAAAGTACTTACAGTGTTATGTGAATCAGTATGAATGATGCAGTTGTTTATGGTTGAGCTCATTTTAAATATTTCTGTTTAACCTCCAGTGCTACTTGATTGCTCCCATATCCACAAGGGGTCGCTACAGACTGTAGCAGCATGTTTTGATCCAACACATTTTAATGCTGGATGCCCTTCCTGATAAAAACCCAAAGAGGCCTAGCAAGCGAATCTGTAAATCACAACACTTTGGAGATACTGTTTAATCTCGGGTAGTGCATCATGTACTACATATATAATCATATGTTTGTGTTGGCTGTCCAGTAAGGACTACATCTCTCCAAATAAACAGCTGTTAATGAGCTCAAAAATACATTTTTCAAGCTTTGACTTAAAAGTTTATATCAGGTGTATTTATTTAAGAATGTATTTATAAAATGGAAAAAAAAATCAGATGAATTAAAGCACTTTTCGCTTTTCATTTTTTCGCCTGTCCCGTTTGGTGCTTTTGCCATCAGAATTATTGTCTAAAGGCAAAGAAAGATACCCAACGGATTTACTTTACCAAATGGACCATCCCGGCTTGCCATATTGGTCTATTTGATTCACCTTTGATTTTATTGTTTATTTTATTTTATTTTCACTTGCTACACACATAACTACGGAAGAGGATTAGGGCCACTGGAAAAAAAAAAAAGAATTCTGACTTTAATCTCAGAATTCTGACTTTATTCTCAGAATTCTGAGATTAAAGTCAGAATTCTGACTTTTTTCTCAGAATTCTGACTATAATCTCAGAATTCTGAGAAAAAAGTCAGAATTCTTTTTTTTTTTTTTCCAGTGGCCCTAATCCTCTTCCGTACAATTGTGACTGGTTTTGGTGGAAAAACTTAAAACACTATTACTATTTCTCAAGCAGGTGTTGGGAACCAAAAAGAGAACCAGATGCAAGAAATATCTCACGTTAAAACTGTCACAACGAATCCAGTAAGTGTTGCAAAATATATATTTTTGTAATAATACAATTTTTTAGCTGTTTTTTTTTTTAATGAGTGGCTCTGAATTGCAGCCTGTCACAAATCATTCAACTGTGATGCATGGCCACTTAGAGGAGTATAACATGTGCGAAAATTAATTCCTGCAAAAGTCACAAAGTCCAAATAAAAATTGGCATTGGACACTTTTATTATCAACTATCACTACTGGACAAATTATAAAACTGTTCTTGTGATATTTTAGGTTGTATGTTCAACAAATCTTGTGAAAAGCCCAAAAGGAGCAGGCAGTTGCTATACAAGGTGCCATCATTGTAACATAAATCCAAATATAATGTGTCTTAATCGTCTGTGCCATTGAACTTATTTTTTACTATTACCTCACAGGTTCTCTCAAAAAAATGAGTGACTACAATTTACTTTGAGCTGATTACACACATATCATCCTGTTAAAAAAACATTAAACCTGAAATAACACAAAACTGTCCTAAATACAGGTGCCAATCATATAATTAGAATATCATCAAAAAGTTGATTTATTTCACTAATTCCATTCGAAAAGTGAGACTTGTATAATGGTTACATTCATTCCACACAGACTGATATATTTCAAGTGTTTATTTCTTTTAATTTTGATGACTATAACTGACAACTAATGAAAACCCCAAATTCAGTATCTCAAAAAAGTAGAATATTACTTAAGACCAATACAAAGAAAGGATTTTTAGAATTCTTGGCCAACTGAAAAGTATGAGCAAGTGCAGCACGCAATACTTAGTTGGGGCTCCATCCATCCATCCATCCATCTTCGTCCGCTTTGTCCGGGGCCGGGTCGCGGGGGCAGCAGCCTAAGCAAAGAGGCCCAGACCTCCCTCTCCCCAGCCACCTCCTCCAGCTTATCCGGGGGAATACCAAGGCGTTCCCAGGCCAGCCGAGAGATATAATCTCTCCAGCGTGTCCTGGGTCTGCCCAGGGGGCATCCTTGTCAGATGCCCGAACCACCTCAGCTGGCTCCTTTCGATGTGGAGCAGCAGCTGCTCTACTCTGAGCCCCTCCCGGATGGCCGAACTTCTCACCCTATCTCTAAGGGAGAGGCCAGCCACCCTTCGGAGGAAGCTCATTTCTGCCGTAGTTGGGGCTCTTTTTACCTGAATTACTGCAGCACTGCGGGATGGCATAGATTTGATCAGTCTGTGGCACTGCTCAGGTAAACGGTAAATGCATTTGTATAGCGCTTTACTTAGTCCCTATGGACCCAAAAGTGCTTTACACTACATTCAGTCATCCACCCAATCACGCACTGGTGATGGCAAGCTACATTGTAGCCACAGCTGCCCTGGGGCACACTAACAGAGGTGAGGCTGCCAGACATGGCGCCACCAGGCCCTCTGACCACTAGACAACGGGTGAAGTGTCTTGCCCAAGGACACAACGACCGAGACTGTCGGAACCGGGGCTCGAATCGGCAACCTTCCGATTACAAGACGAAACTCTTGAGCCACAATCGCCCCACTGAGAGCCCAGGTTGCTCTGATAGTGGCCTTCAGCTCTTCTGCATTGTCGCGTCTCGCAAATCGCATCTTCCTCTTCACAATACCCCATAGATTTTCTCTGGGGTTAAGGTCAGGTGAGTTCGTTGGCCAATTAGGAACAGGGATACCATGGTCCCAGATACTGGTAGCTTTGGCACTGTGTGCAGGTGCCAAGTCCTGTTGGAAAATGAAATCTGCATCTCCATAATGTTGATCAGCAGCAGGAAGCATGAAGTGCTCTAAAACTTCCTGGTATATGGCTGTGTTGACTTTGGACCTCAGAAAACACAGTGGAGCAACACCAGCAGATGACATGGCAAGGGTTAGGGTTAAGGCGAGACCCTTCTGACACTGTCTGTTGTTCAACAGTGGCTTGACACAAGGAATGCGATAGCTGAATCCCATGTCTTGCATACATCTGTGCGTAGTGGTTCTTAAAGCACTGACTCCAGTTGCAGTCCACTCTTTGTGAATCTCCCCCACATTTTTGAAGGCGTTTTGTTTCACAGTCCTCTCGAGGGTGCGGTTATCCCTGTTGCTTGTACATCTTTTCCTTCCCTTTGCCTCTCTATTAATGTGCTTGGACATAGCGCTCTGTGAACAGCCAGCCTCTTTTGCAATGACCTTTTGTGTCTTGCCCTCCTTGTGCAACGTGTCAATGGTTGTCTTTTGGACATCTGTCAAGTAAGCAGTCTTCCCCTTGATTGTGTAGCCTACGGAACTAGACTGAGAGACCATTTAAAGGTTTTTGCGGGTGTTTTTTGCACCTGTAGATGCTACTTACTCCTGCTTGTGTAAT